GCCCCTGGTCGCTTCTCTTGGCTTGACGAAATCGCGAGAGTTTCTAGTGCTCCCCACAAATCCAAGCAAACGAGATCCCCGTAGTTCCACCATCATCGTTTTTTGGATTCTTGAGGTAGATGATTCTGGGTTCTTGAAGAAGAATGAAGTAGCCGCCTTGACTTATTTTTCTTCCCAACAATCAATTTTGCTTCCTTCTTAGCCGAATTCGAAAGACCCAATCAATTGTCTCTGAAACTCAATTTTGAATTGAAATTGTGAATCGATTCACAGTTGTGCGTGGATTTTAGAATAGTTGTTGTAAGCATCTGGGGTGTTGGCGTTTCTGGTGAAGGACTGGGAGCAAGCATTGGTGTTGTCCCTGTAGCTGGAGAAACCGAGCTTGTGGTCGTTGCTGACAGAGTCGTAGGTGGTGAAGCGGAGACCAGGCACGTTGACTCAGTTTTGGTAGTTCTTGAAATTGTCGGCGATAGATCTGGAGCCGTTCCGAAGCTGGGGTTGGCGACGTTGCCATCAGTGGCGTAGTTGGAGAAGACCTCGTTGTGGCGATTGGCCTGGCGACTGTATTTGAGGAACGAGTCGGAGGAAAAGTTCAACCCGGTGGAGTAGTTCTTCAATGACTCGAACCCGCCGCCTTACCTCGAGGTGATGTAGTTTGAGAAGTGGTTGCATCGAAAACCCAATCTGCGAGAGTTGACGATGGCTATGGCGGCGGCGACGTTGAAGCTGGGTGGAGGCGACGGCTTGAAGATGTGAGAAAGAGGGAGAGGCTGAGCGGTGAGGTAGGGTACGGTGGTGGACGAGCTTTGATTTTTTTTGGGCTAATACCACTACAACACCCGAACTATGACAAAAATGCCACTTGTATCATATTCTTTCCAATATTCCATTTGTGTCCTATTGTATGATATTTTTTGCCATCTGTATCCTGACGATTTCGTTGACCGTTAGAGATAACGGTTGACCAGACGGAAGTCAAATTATTGTTGACTTTTGCTGATGTGGCAAAATCGAGGTGGCCACATAAATGACACGTCATAGACAAATCAGATTTTAATTCAAAATTAATTAATATTTATAAAAAAAATACAAAAATTGATTTCGGCAACGCGTCGCTCCTTCTTCTCCTCCGACAGAATCTTGCCCCGACCATCCCTTTCAGAGTTGCAGCCTCCAGCGCCGCCGCCATAGCTCCAGGGAGAAAAAACAATCAAATCATCGAAACAGAGATCAAGCTCCAGCAATATCTTCCGGTTGCTCCGCGATCTCCTCGCCATCCTCTTCATCCTCTCCAGCGGCGATTCCGGCTTCGACTGGAACACCACTATCTCCCCTGCTGCTCTGCCTCCTCCTCCTTCGTTACTTTGCTTCTCGGTCGCCACCAGCTGCTCGTATTCCGCCATTGGAAATCCCCAACAGGCGAGATTTCGGAGAGAGATTAGGGATTCAAGACCATCGACTGAACCCTTTGTCGCCCTCTTTCGCCCAAATCCAATCGACATTTCCTCTATCTCCAATCGAAATCCCAGACCATCGACTGAATCCTTTGTCGCCCTCATATCGATGGTTTATGTCGAGCTGAGATTTAAACTTCAACCCCGCAGATTTGAAATCTGGTGAAGAGATCTCAAAGCGAGCCTTCCCTTCTCTGAATCTGGCCCCGACTGCGACAAAACGATGGTGTTCAGATGGTTGAGGACGCCAGATCCGAGCAGCGAATCGAGGTCGTGGAGAAGGCTGGAGAGAGTTGCGGAAGCGAAGTCTTGGTCGCTGGAAGAGCATCTTGTCGCCGGGGAGGGGATTTGAAGGGATTGCAGTCGCCGCGGAGTAAGAGGAAGCGACAGAGCAAGCTTGGGAGGGGGATTGGGTAGATGAGATTAGGAATTTTTAACTTTTTGCTCTTTTTCTTTTTTTTTAATTGTTATTTAATTATTTAAAAATAACACGTCAGATGCCACGTCAACGCTGACTGGATTTTCTGTTAAATACTAACGGTCAACGCTGGTCAACACTAACGGATAAATAGTTCAGGACACAAATGGAATATTGGAAAGAATAGGATACAAGTGGCATTTTTGTCATAGTTCGGGTGTTGTAGTGGTATTAGCCCATTTTTTTTTTACATTTTTTTATTACAAATTTCCACGTCAGCTGCCATGTCATTGTTGATTGTATTTTCTGTTAACCCCTAATGGAAAACTTAACGGTTGGTATACAATTGTCATATCGAAAATTTCATAATATAAATGGCACTTTCGCTAAAGGTTGATATTTCTAGTGGTATTAGCCCAAATGTTTATGTTAAGGATTAATAGAATTTTGTACCCGTTTTACTATTGTTAGTTAACAAACGTACACCTTTATTAAATTGTACCCTTTCATCCAATTTTATGTTAAAGAATTGGGGTAAATTGCAAGTTTGGTCACTGGAATTACTTAAAGAGTTCATGTTTGCCATTAAAATTAATTTTATTTCATCCATAGTCGCTTAAATTAGTTCAACAGTTCAAGTTTGGTCACTCTCCGTTAGTCTTCGTTAACTTTAACTTACGTGACAGTCAACTCTGAAAGTTGACTGTTAAATAAGTGACGTGACAATTTTAAAATAATAAAATAAATGTTTTTAAAATTCCACATCATTATCATAATAAACTAAAAAATAAATAATAATAATCCTCCAATATAATATACTAGAGTTTTATGAAATTTTCTCCATTTCAAATTTGCAGGCCTCTCCTTAAATTTCGGTCAGGGCATAATAGTAATTACATTTTCATATTTTTTCTTTTCTTTTTATTCCCAGGCAAAAAAACCTCACGTTATATTGAAAGTTGGTTATCTTTTGGCTTTTGCCATGCGCCCATACCCATAGTGATAAGAATGGTGTTGAATAATTTTTTTTTATCTAATTCATTTGCAATTTAGCGTAGATTTTTGGTTAAAAATCTCCTTTTTAGTCCTATTATCGGTTAAGTTTTAGTGTTTATAGTTTCATTGATTTTTAATAATTCTAAATGGGTTAACAAAAAATCAAAAAGTGTTTTAATTATTATGTCATTTATAGAATTTTGGATACAGGGTGCAGTCTTTTGATTTTAACATTGATAGTTTTAATGATTTAGTATTTGAGGATTTTCTATGATTAAGACAATAGAAAGTTGAATGAGGGTTAAGGTTTTGTTGGGTTTTCTCAGTATAGGAATTAGAACACACATAAAATAGTGTGACATAAAGATGATGAATTTTTTGAAAAGGAAAAGAGAAGTTACGCATTTAAATTCTTTATCATATATCATGAAATCGAAAGTTAATATAAGTTATTTAGGTGTATAGTCTGTGTTTCTGAAGGCGAGCATAACTTACTCATAAACTTTGGATCTAATTAAGAAGTTTAAATGGTACAAATTATGTGATGTTTTCTTTATTGTATTAAAGTGGTGAGAATATCTTGACATAAACCCCATATAAAAGAACTTCAAAGTTGAAATTTTGATTAATATAATGATAGATAAACCGACTCATAGTATGGTCAAAATTAAACAATTTGATGGATAAAATATTTAAGTAGGAACCGTTGAGAAAAAACTAACTTAAAATATTTTCTTAAGTGATGAACTCAAACACTCCGACGAATTGGCCGGGTACATACTAGTAATAATAATTGCAATTTCTACTTCGTCTTCCCCCGATTTCCATCTTCTGTCCATCTTCTATCATAAATTGGGGTGGAGATGTTCATATGAGCCTATAGTTTGAGTTCTTCGAGTGCTAGGTTTAGATTGATTGTATTTGGGTTTAGGGTTCCGGCTAACGTCGGCAATTTATTGAACTCACCGGAACTGGGATTTCGACTGGAGACTTCGAGTCCAGGTTTGTCGCGGCGTCGTCGTCTGGCTCTTTCTTCCATCGCTTGGTTTTAGGGGTGGGCATCCGGTTCGGGTTTGACTCTCCGAACCGAATTTGACCGAACCAAAATCGACCGAAACCAAAATTTATGTTATTAGGTTCGAAATTCGGAAAGAGAAAAGCCATATTTCGGAAACCAAGGTCACACAACTGAACCCGATTTCCGAACAGCCGAACCGAAAAACCGAAATTACAAAATTAATAAACAACATTTTAGCCCATAGACCCACACAGCCCAAAACCCACTCCCCCACTGACCACAATCCACTCTCGGCTCTCCCCAGCCCATACCTCACAAAACCCTAAGTCCAACCTTTTTATGCTCTCTCAACGCTAACCTCCCACCCTTTACCCTTATCCCTATCCCACTGCCACCGCGCCGCCGCCTGCTCTCCAGCAGCCACCACAGACCACACAAACGTCCTCGCCGTGCTTCTTCCATGGCTCACCGCACTCTCTTCTCCGCCGCGACAAATTCCTTCTCCACCTAAAATCGAAAACAGAGAAGATCTATTGAAGCTCGACGGAGAAAAGCAAACCCCAAAAAAGTTCATGCATGTTTAGATCTGACCCATACTCACCTCTAACCTTCGTCGTCGGTCATCACCATTGCCGACATCCATTGCCGTTGCCTCCAGCGTCGTGCATCGCCGTTGCCACCAGCATCGTGCATCGCCTTGCTGCCTGCCGTTGTCAATCGCTGAGTTGTGCTTTGCTTTGAGCTTCACTCGCCGTCGTCTCTGCGTTTGGGTAGATCGTTGTTTGGATAGAGAGAAAGAGAGGGATTGGGCAGAGAGAAAGAGAGAGGGAGATGGAGAGAGAGAGGACCAGAGTGGGGGGAAAAGTTTTAGATGAAAAAGTGGGTGGATGCATTTTCATATAAATGTCCGGTTTGGTCGGGATCCCGAACCGAACCGGAATATAATCCGGTTCGGACAATCCGAACTGAATTATATTTCGGTTCGAGTTCGGTTTCAAGTTTGAAGTATGTGGAAGACCCGGTATCCATCTTTTCGGTTCGGTGTTCAAACCGAACCGATGCCCACCCCTACTTGGTTCTTCGCGGCATCATTGTCTTGTTCATCGACCAGATAGCGTCTTTCTTCTGCACCCACTCCTCATCGTCGCGGCAACCCAGGTCTCCCTCATTCAACCAACTGGAAATTAAAAATCACCGCATCCAACTTCGAATCTGCCTAGGCAACGACTAATCTCCCTGGGCGGTGCCTCCCCGCCTAGTTAGCGCGCCTAGTTCCTTCTTGAACATTACACTGGAGTTGATCGTTTCTGAAATTCGTGAAAATTTTCATGGTTACAGGTTTGATTCATGATCCTTGGAGAAGCTTTCTCTTTTTATGGAGTTCGAAGTATGGCATGTTTCTGGAGCAGAGCACTGCTTTGTAGCCCTTCCTTTGCAACTCATCCAGACTTTGGAATCTCTCCGCCCGACTCTTCTCCCTCAGCCTCAGCTCCTCGTAATTGAGCTTCGCTCATTGAGCCCCACTGCTGACCAGCAGCGGAGCTGGACGGTCTCTTGGTCTGGTGCTACTTCGTCTTCTGCTGCTATTGAGGTAGATAATCTGAGTTTTATTTACTGGAATGTTTTTAGTTAGGGTATGGAATCTTAACAGTTTTCTATTATCTGATATGTGGTGGTGGTGCCTATGAAGATCGGTAGGCAGTTTGCGGATTGCATTTTGTTGCCTGATCATCTAAGAGTACAAGTTCGAGTTGTGTCAAATGTGGAACGTGCTGAACGAGTGATGGTAGAGCCTGATACCGAAGACGACTGGGAAGTTATGGAGCTCAAAGCAGAGTTCGCTGAGGCATCCATGTTAAGCCAGGTAAGCTTGAGTTGTTTTAGTTTATTTCTTACTGCATTTTAGTTAAATTATTGAAATCTGATTATAATTTGAATTGAGATGGTATCACTTCCGTCAAAGTTATGTGTGCTGAGAGATATGTCTGCTGATAACAGTTTCTGTTTTTTGTTCCTTGGAAATAAAATGGAGAATTTTCCATCAGATAACATATTCTCTTTTGCATTTTGGGTGGAAGCAACTCCTCTATGATGTCCCATAGGAATATTGGAAGGTAGAGACGGAGCGTTGATCTGCCATTTCCAATTGGGCAGCCAATATGACTGTGAAAGATTTCCCTAAGATTCGCCTTTTCCCACCAGCTTCATTTTTGCTCCTTATGTTGTTTGATAGTCCAGCAGCTCCCCTTTCAAGGTTTAGTTATTTCCCCTTGTGTTCACGGTGAGGTGGCCCAAACAACATACACCAGATATGTCCATGAGTTTTGGGTTTATTCCAGTAGGAATGTCCTTTAGGTTTGACTCTACATCCTTCCGATCCGCCAGCTACTTTTCCAAAAACTTAGGCATTCTCTTCATCTCCTCCTCAATTGTAAGCACTAGACCAGGTTTTCAGTCACCAATGGAATGGGCGAAGATAAGAGGTCTCCTGGTATTTGATGTTTGTGACAAGCCAAGTTCACAGCTAGTCTTCTATAAACTGTTCCATGCATCAATGTTGAAGTCGCCGGTCACGGATAATATCTTTGATACTTTGTTTGTCCACATGCAGATCAAAATTGTCAAAGAGGCAATGAGATTTCCCTTGTGGCTGCATGGCCATTCTGTAGTTACCTTCCGCGTGGTTTCGACTGTTCCCAAAAAAGCAGTAGGTACATCTACGATTTCATTCCCTTTGGTTGCACACTAGTGACTTGAAATTAATTCACTTTCTTAATTTGAAATCCTGGTGCTTCTTCGTTGAGTTTCTTATTAGACTTACTGGATTGAGAATCATAATGTTGAGCAGTTTTGAGGAGTAGCTCGATTGGCGGCAGTTCCTTTCTTCTTGGATATTTTCTTGTAAATAGTGTTCAAAGTCTGCTTTATTAGGATCTTTCTAGTGCCCATGACTGATTTTTAAAGCTCAGTTTTCTTTGAGCCTTATATAGTGATATATTGTTGGTGTCCACAGTACAACTTGTTCATGATACGGAAGTAGAAGTTGCTCCCAAGAGACGACAAAAGCTTGTGAATAAATCAGATGCTTCATCTGACAAGCAACGCAATGTTAAGGAGGCCTTATTGCGTATTCAAGATTCAGATAAAAGATTGTTTCAGAAATGTAATGTCAAAGGTGCTGATTTGGGGGTTGCACTAACTACTGTTGCTTATATTAACCCCGAAACTGCTAAATACTTTTTGTTTGAGCCTCTTCAGTCGATTATTCTTATTCCAAAATTATCAAGAGAGAGGGTTGACAATGATGCATCGAGAATGAAAAGCACTTCAGCACCTAAAGATGGGACAAGCAGGAAAGTATCTCGTCGAGCAATTATTCATCTTCTCTTTTCTGACTCTGTATCCAAAGGGCATCTAATGATAGCTGAGTCTCTTCGTTTGAGCATGAGAGTTGGCCTGCATTCATGTACGTGGATTCTCCTTGACATTCCAATAGACAAGTTTGGAGACTTATTTTGCTTTGAGAATGTAGCTTGTTAGCTTTTTCAGACATAACAGACAAAGGTTGATTTTATCTGCCAATTTCCCTTGGGTTGAGTTGATTCTTTTGTGTTTTTTCCAGGGGTGCATGTGAAAGAATACCATGGTAATTTCAAGGAGGATATTCCCTTGCTCTCACTGTCTCCCTGCCACATTAAGATGCTTGGAAGGGATGGTGAGAAGGGAGAATTTGGCATGGAAGTGCATAATAGTCGTAGAATGGAAAAGCTTCAAATGCTGCCTTCCGGAATTAGTTCAGGAAATAACTTAAATGAAACAGATCATTTCACGCATGGTGATTTCATAGCTACTCTTTCATCTGTTTTTCCTCATGCAGAGGGTGCAGAACGAGTATGTGGTTCTGATAGTAGAAAGACTTTAGGCATACTTCTTCATGCATGGGTGGCTGCACAACTTGAAGCAATTGCTTCGGCCTCTGGTGTAGAGGTTAATTCATTGACTTTAGGAGATGAGACTGTAATGCACTTTGAAATGAGAGGACTTGACTATGGGTCTGGAAGGCACAGTTTACTGGAACCATCTGATTCAAATTTAGAGGTACAAGATAAGCTTGGTGAAAAGCCAGTTAAGTACCTGTTTGTGCTGAATGCTTCAGAGGATTCTTCAGATGACAAAAATGTATGTGCATATAAACTTTCCTTTGATAAGAGCAAAAGAGATCATTTGATACCCGAGGAGTTGCTCAGCAATCTTGAACTTGGTGAACCTCTATCCTTCTATTCTACCAAGGAAAGGGTATCCGGAAAGGACTTTGAATCAGATTTGTCCACTTTGAGCTGGATGGGATCAACTCTAACTGATGTTATTAATAGTAGGTACTTTCTCCTTGCAATCTTTTTGTTTGTACCTGGTCATAAATAAGTACCCCTGCCTTCTCTATTTAGAAAGTGTTACTACACCTTCCTGGCTGTGTAAAACCATATCGGAGGTTGTACTATACCTTCCGGAAAGTGTTACTACACTTTCCTCGCAAGGATTGTATAACCGTACCAGAGGTTGTACCGGAAAATTTAGCGGTATGGTGTTTTGGGCTTAAATTATGGTTGAACAGTGGGTCAATCATTTCATATTGCAAAAAACCGCCTGCAGGTTTAGGCTCCAGTAGGAGGTTTTTCCAGTCGGATCGCAAGTACGGTTTCACAAACACTTAATAAATAATGTTGGTCTTAGTAGGAAAAAATTGTCTGCTGTGGGCCATATTGCATTCTTTCAAGTTTCTAATACAAACTAGTATTGATTTATTTCTTCAGACTAAGTTGTCTTTTGACCTTTGATACTCATGGAAACCTGAGTACATAATGGATGTAAGTCGGGTTAAATGAGTTGTTCTTTAATCATCACACGTTGCTCATCCATTTTCATGCTTCGTAAGATTTTTAATCGGTTAGAAGTCTTCCTGATACAAATTTTCTCAATGCAGGAGTGAATGTCTTGCTATCTCCTAGCTCTGGGTTGTGGTTTGGCAGTCACAAACTTCCTCTCCCTGGCCATGTTCTGATATATGGACCTCATGTGGGTGAAATTTATCTGTTAAATAGTTTCTGTGCCATTATACTTATTCTTATTCTTATTATGATTTTGATTATTTTGTTTTTGATCTACAGACTCTGTTTAATTTTTTTTCCTAGATAGTTTCTGTTCCCTGTTGCCTTAATATTTTTAAGATTATTATTTACGAGTAGCTTCAGAAGTAAACATGTTCTTGCTCTAAGTGTCTAGTTAATGTAAATGCATTAGACATCAATGCCTATAGATATAGGCTAGATTCTTGGAATTGAGAATGCATTGAAGAAGAAACGATAGAATTACTGATATTGGGGTAGATCTACGGTTTAAAGAGGAGAATCAGAGAGCTTGGTAACAAAATTTAGAGATTTGGAGGAAGAATTTGGGGGAAAAAGGATCAAGAAGCCTACAACCTAGATAGTGAGGAGAGTAGAATTAAGATTATTTGGGAGAAAGATACTTTGGTTTAACTTCTTCCATTTTCTTCTTAATTTTGAAAGAAAGACCCAGAGTACATATTTATAAGAAAAAGCTCCAAAATCCTAATAATAACCCTAGTCTACTCTGCCCTTTCTTAGCAGCCAACTCCCCCTATAATTTCTACTAATACTACTATTAATAATTATTAATAATGATAAAAGCGTCTTTTAACAACGTTCACCAAATAATTTAAAACGAGGTAAATGCAAGCTGAGAACCGCAACAAAAGGTATCCCCATCGATGTCTAGGAGACTATGGTGTTGTATTGTCGAAAGAGGCGTTGTGCTGCATTTCCCAGACAAACTCTTTCTAAGTCGTGATCAGTGGTTCTCTCTGTTGTGCGCTTGTTGCAAATGGGAGAGCATAGTAACAGATAATTTTTCTGAATAAGATATCTTTAGGCTTCAATCAACCACACTGGTTTGCTTCTCAACTTTGTTAGTATTTTTGGTATTATAGTGCCTATGTTTCATAGGTTTTCTTGCATCAATGCTAACCCCATGTAATATATAACCATCATATTCCACTTCAGATGTCTTTATTTTCTCAACCTGAAAATTCTTAGTTCATACCCATCATATTCCACTATGTTCAATGTTGATATTCATTTTTATTAGGGTTCTGGGAAGACTATGTTAGCAAGATCTGTGGCCAGTTTCCTTGAAAGACATAAAGATATATTATCACATGTGTAAGTATTCCTGTATCCTACCATGAGCTCTTTCAACTTGCGTTCTTTTTCCGATTATTTTTATTTTCCCATGAGAAAACCAGCATTTCGATAACTGTACTGGGAGTTTTATTAACCCCGGAATGAGCTTTTGTCTGCAGGGTATTCGTAAACTGCTCTTCCCTTGCTTCGGAGAAGGCTTCAGCCATTCGTCAACAACTTTCAGCTTCCATTTCTGAAGCGCTAGACTATGCGCCATCTGTTGTAATCTTCGATGATCTTGATAGCATCGTTTCAGCCTCTGATTCTGAAGGATCTCAACCTTCGACTTCTGTTGCTGCATTGACAAAATACCTAGCTGATATTATTGATGAATATGGGGTATGCACTATACTTTTATTGTTTTAGCTGTGTCATTTTATTTTAAATGTGTTGCATTTTTCGCTCGTATATGTTTCAGTCTGCTTCCCTTGGCTTCTAGTGCTTTTGGGTTGTTGCCATTGTTTATTTTGATTTTCAGATACTTTCAATTATTATTCAATATGTGATGTACCTGGGAAAGGTGCCTTGTAGTATTGCTCAAAATATAAGAAACAACTCTTTCTCTGCATTCAGTTTGTTGTTCGGGATCTTTCTCTTGGATTCTGAGTGATCTAATGTCTTCTGGTTGTTGCTTACTTCATCTTCACTGTTAAGATAAGATTGTATTACTCCATCATTCCTGAAAGAAGAAATATAAGCTTCTAAGCAAGAGGTCGTTCAATCTCAGAATGTGGCTTGTAATGGTAGCTCTATGTACAAACTTCTTCAGATGATGCTAGATTAAAGTCGTAGTATGGAGAAGAAGAAAGGAGATTGTCTAACAGGATATGACACTGGGATTTTTCCCACTAGCATTATTGTTTCTCTTGCATGAATTCAACTTGCTATGATTAATGAGGATATGTTTCACCCTTTTCGTGCTTTAACAGTTGAAGTAGTATAATTTATTTTTCTCATATCACATGTATATAGATGTCACCGTAAGAAGTTCTTGCGCCGGCATATGATTGCATCAGTGTGTATCACGATGTCAGTTACTTGGATTATGAAGTAAATACTTTGGTCAGTCAAGATTACTTGAGTTTTCATCTCCTATTTAGCTTATCTGATGTTTTCTTGAGCAGGAAAAGAGGAATGGCTCATGTGGCACTGGTCCAATTGCTTTTATAGCTTCTCTGCAAAGACTAGAGAATATCCCACAATCACTGAGCTCTTCAGGTTCTTTTGTTTCTCTAGAGATCATTCATTGGCTTCTCAGACTGCTCACTAATAGTTTTTCTTGTTGCCATTGATGTCTGACCAGGGAGGTTTGACTTCCATGTGCAACTTCCTGCTCCTGCTGCATCTGAACGTGGGGCTATACTGAAGCATGAAATACAGAGGCGTTCCTTACATTGTCCAGAAGAAATTTTGTTGGATGTAGCATCCAAATGTGATGGTTATGATGCGTATGATCTGGTAAGGCTACTGGTTCTTTTTCATTTTTCTCGATGTTTAATGTGAAAGATTTTTTTATGTTTCTTCAGTTGGGGATGGTGGAATACCCTATTAAATTGCTCTCATAGTACGTAATTACATGGGTTCTCGCCTTTCCTTATATTCATATAGAGAGGAGGAAATGAATCCAGTGCCAAATTGAACTTCCATTATATTGGCTTAGGAGTTTCTTAATGTTTTGGTGGTTTTTTCTGTATTTTATTTTAAAAGGGTTTATGACCACAGTAGTTTAGGGGTTATTATATAAACGTATCAACTCAATTAGATATAGGGGAGCTCACCTAAGCCATTCACAATTCATATAAGCATTACGTTTGGTTACGGACACTATACTTCAACTAGTGCACCAAAATTTTCCTGCTATATGATATTCAATTTATGGGTGCAATTATCATGTGTTCGGTTCTAAGCTGTAGAACACTAGTGACATTATTTTTGTTTGATACAAAAGAGTTTTATATTCCATTCTAAACCCTCACCTACTCAAACCAGCCAATCATTTTTGCATGAATCTTCGGTCTAAGCTGTGATCCGCTGATCAGCGCGAGTTGAGAAAGGCTGGTGCCTGGAAGCCCATCTGGACACTTGAAAAAACGGACAGGAAAATTTGTCCTCTGGTCATTGCCGTGTATCAAATGCTATTCTTCGATTATGTGCTACCATAAGTATTGCCAATCGTCCATTGGAATTTTACAATTTCAAATTGTTTTCCTGACAGACTATGTGCTCATGGAGGGTTTAACTTGGCAAAATGCACTTTGACTGTGTCAGGAAATATTGGTTGATAGAGCTGTACATGCTGCTGTTGGTCGCTTTCTTCCTTATTCTAATGGAGAGCCTGGAAAATCCACCTTACTTATGGGCGATTTCTCAAGGGCAATGGATGGGTTCCTTCCAGTTGCTATGCGTGATATTACTAAATCAGCTTCTGAAGGTGGCCGTGCTGGGTGGGAAGATGTTGGTGGACTGAATGATGTGAGGAATGCTATAAGAGAGGTATAGTTTTATATTATCTTTTCTTCGTGTTTCATACATTTGAGGAACCAAATGTCAAGTCCCTGTATTTTGTGCCTTAAGAATATTTCCAAATCTCTTTTTCCTATTAGTTTCCTTTTGCTCTTCGGCTTGTCCAAGTGATTTTCTTCTTAATCATTTACTGCAAGTTTTCTGTTAATTGGTTTAGCTACCCAATGCTGTTAATTCAATTTACTAAACACTAGCATTTTACTTATGGCCTTGGATATGTAGACAAGATTGATGTGGTGATCCCATAGTTGTCTTGTACTTGTAATGACCACTTTTAGCTGGAAAAGAGTTCCAATGCTGAATCTTTGTATGTTAACCACTGTATTATATATCAGATGATTGAATTGCCATCAAGATTCCCAAATATCTTTGCAAAAGCTCCTTTAAGGCTGCGTTCAAATGTTCTTCTCTATGGTCCTCCTGGTTGCGGCAAGACTCACATCGTTGGTGCTGCTGCTGCTGCTTGTTCACTGCGGTTTATATCAGTGAAGGGACCTGAGCTGTTAAACAAATATATTGGTGCTTCTGAGCAAGCGGTATGCCTACAATCTTCTCTTCTCTTGCAAATGGAATAATAGTTTTATTTCTTTGTGATTGTTCTCCTTTTTATGTTTATAGCTTGTGCTACAGAAACTGATTGCTTAATTCTCATACGGTGCTGCCTTTTGTTAAACATGTGAATTTCTTGTGTACCTTTTAAAATGCTTCAGCTACTGCTTGCATTGCATCTTTACCATTTGTTCTTCTTCATAGGAATGAGATCTTACTTTAGGGATCTGCACACTAAAGCTCAGGAGAAGTAGGATGATTATCACTAGACGTGTATAACATAGATTTAGACGCAAGAGTTGGTTTCTTAGGTTGATGGAACCAAAAAAAGTAGCTATACTTTCTCCATCCAGAAAAAAGTAAAGCAAAGGTCTCAGTCCCCTTCCAAATGCTGGAAAGGCTCTTGGGTTTAACTATGACTGGCTTAAAGACCCTTTCTCTTTCTAAGATCATCTATATATATTTTTTTTATAATCAAATAAAAAAATTAACATTAAGAACCGGCTTTCTGGGCAAATAAACCCAGCAGCCTCTCAAACCAAAGTTATTACAAACATCAACAGATGAACAAACAAAAACAACTCTCTGTGAGAGAAAAAACTATATTAGTATCACTAACTACCATCCAAACTCTAGGCTGTCAAAGTCATTTTGGAGATCCTGAATCCCTGCCACTCGACACCTTACTACATTCTGCACTTCATGACAAAACAGTTCTGGATTCTTAGCTCTTCTTGCACCATACATTCTGCAACATCTCTCCCTCCAAATTAAGCTCAAAGAAACACACCAAATCGGTCGACAGATTCTGTCCGCAGGAACCTTTTTGGACCAGCTCTGCACACACCATTCTAAGGTAGCCTTCCAATCAAGATAGACAGGAGGAGCTCTGTTCTTCAGGCAACTGTGTAATACAAAAACTGTGTAAGAACATTGAGATAAGAGATGGTTTTGATCCTCAATCCCACCAGGGCATAACAAGCAAATTCCTGTCACATTCTTCCCCCGCTGTTTCAACTTGTCCTGAAACACCAAACGGTTCTGAATGGCCATCCACAGGGTAAACCATGTTTTGGGGTGATCTCTTTACTCCATACCAGAGGGAACCTGTTAACCTTAGCATCCTTCTCTCTAATTGACTCCCACACTCTTTTTACTGAATATCTGTGCATTGCTACATCATCCCATTTAACCTCATTATCAGAAACAGAGAAATACTGCTGCACAGCACTTCTACACTTAAGTAATCTTTTCCATATCCAAGTTCCAGCAGCCTTTGCATTCAAGGACCAAATCTGTTGCACCTAAAATGTCGTGTGGGTTCACTTTGAGATTACTTATGAGCCAATTGAGTTTCTGTCAGCGGTAAAAGCGACACCTTATTTTATCTGCTAGTTGTGAGAGATTTGAAATTTAGTTAGCAGTGACTGATTCCACATGTACATGTAACTACTCTTTCTCTCAACATAAGCAGTGTTTTCCTGCAAATATTAGTTCAATGTGACTGCGATAAAGAGAGTTTGGTCCAACAGATGGCTATGCTTTGTATCAGGTTCGTGATATTTTCTCAAAAGCAGCTGCCGCAGCACCCTGCCTTCTCTTCTTTGATGAATTTGATTCAATTGCTCCTAAACGAGGACATGATAATACTGGTGTGACTGATCGTGTAGTCAACCAAGTACGTTTCTCTTTGATTTATTTGTGGGTTTGCCTTTATACATTTGGTGTCTTACGAAATGTTTCTTTTTCCAGTTTCTGACTGAATTAGATGGCGTTGAAGTTTTGACTGGTGTTTTTGTATTTGCTGCCACAAGGTTTGTCCCAAGAAGTTGTAGTTTTTCTTCCACAATGCAATTTTAATGGGCTGCCCTGATTCTTTCTGTTTCATCCTTTGATTGTCCTCTTCAATCAGCCGACCTGATCTGCTTGATGCTGCATTGTTGAGACCCGGTAGGCTCGATAGGCTTCTTTTCTGTGATTTTCCATCTCAGCAAGAGAGGCTGGATATTCTTAAAGTTCTATGCAGAAAGGTTAGTGGAAGAATACTGTCCATTCTGTCTTTCTTTTCTTTGTTTCTCCATGTGCACAGTGTGATCTAGTGCGTGAACATTCTATCCTGCATAAGTTTAGATGCTTGAAATGTTGGGCAATAGAAGTAGCAGCTGCTAGAATGAATGTTAACATGACTTGGTTGTTTCATTTATGTCAGACAAGATGCACCAAGAAAGTTCGAGTCTCCTTTTATGTCCTCAATGGCTGAATTGCTAGAATTCTCCCTGAAAATTCAGATCTAAATAGTTTGGATTGATTTAATTTCTATGGTGTACTACTCTGCACCCTCTTTCCTTTTCCAGAATCCATATAAAACTGAACACAGAATGACAGGGTGGGGTTTTCTTTATTCGGTGGTTTGACTTGGTTTCTTTTTGCGCACTGAATGCAGCTGCCACTGTCTGAAGATACGAACTTACACAGCGTGACTCAGATTACAGAGGGATTTAGTGGAGCTGACCTACAAGCTCTACTATCTGACGCACAGCTTGCTGCAGTTCATGAATTTTTGAGCAGCACCACCTCCGACAACCACGAGCCTGTGAAAAAGCCGGTGATAACTGATTCCGTCTTAAAGGCAATAGCTTCCAAAGCAAGACCATCGATTTCTGAATCAGAGAAACACAGACTGTACGGCATTTATAGCCAGTTCTTGGATTCCAAAAGATCAGTTGACGCACAGGTTGTTGTTCTCATTTCTCCGTCTCTCACGCCGCGTTGTCTGGAAGCAGCTGCTTTCCAGCATCCGGCATCGCAGTATCGCACTACATGTCCATTTACTAACCATGGTACTGAATATGCATGCAGGTGAGGGATGCAAAGGGCAAACGAGCGACTCTAGCATAAGCAGCAGCGCAAAATGCCAGCCACGCCAGGCTGCAGTAGATTGAGTTATTGTTGCTAGCTACTGCGAGACCAACACGATGCTTTCGACCCTGGAACGGTCATTTGTTATTGGAACTTGGGAATGAGTTCCAAGTTCCAACGACTTCTGTGTGCAGAATGTCCTCCTGACGATTAAGCAAAACAAACTGGTCATGGGTTTTGCCCCACACCTCGAGTAAAATAAGCACTGAATTCTGATTCTCGGTCACAAAGCCTACTTGTTATTTAAGTTATGATCCGAGACAAATTCAGAATACAAAGAAACGTTATCATCCCTGTGACGGTTAGTGACCAAATTCATTGCCTCGGTCACGGTTGTTGCATATGCGCACATAGTAGTAGTGGTAATTCCTCGTCCAAACAAGATCAACGATTCTCTTCAAGCCTTTGAATCTCTTGTTCATCTTCATATCATACATAAATACATATTGATGGCTCTCTTCAACTCTGTTAATCTCTTGTCCATCTTCATATCGTACATACATAACAACTCATTAGAACAAAATACAAAATTTCAAACAAGGGTTCCTTATTTTTTTTTTTAGATAAGGGTGATATATGTTACTTTTTTGTTATTAGGTACTATTAAAGGGATTCGAACCTGAAACCTCCAGGTTCATGGCTAGTGATACAAGGGTTCCTTATTAAATGCGATAAATTAATAAATTATTTATTTTAAGGAAACCTTGTAGATATAAAATGTGGGGTCCATTTTTTTATTTATTTAATGGGGGTAAAAAAACCAAGTGACTAGGGGAGCTCATAAAGAGCGCAACACGACATGACCAAAGTCATTACAACAGCAAGATGATCAAGTGATATCTTGCATTGCTCTGATGACCAAGTAATTGTATATTGTATATCGTATATTCAAATCTGTAACCGTCCCATATATATATATTTTTTTTACGAAGTACTCACCTCGGGGAAAGTTTTGCAAACACATTTCCATATTCGTGGGTTTCGGATATCCATGGTCAATACCCACCCCAAAACTTTACATGTAAATTTTCACTTATAACGCTAAAAAAAAATCCTATTATATCATTAAGTCAACAAAGATACAATCATTTTTAATATGGATGGAATCCTATGATCCTAAAACATCTATTAATCAATAAGATCGAGTATAATATTTTCCAAATCATTGATTTCTAACTCTGACACATTTACTAAGTAATACTTAACTAACATAATTATCTTGTTAACAAGAGGAAAAGTGAAAGAATAAAGGGAGAATTGACGTAAAGGAATTAGATTTGGATGTAAACCCAATTTTTGATTGCGTTGTCAAAACGCTGGGCGGTGATCCTACGCAAGTGATGATGAATGTGACGAACAAAGATGACGCATAGAAAAGGTCTGTACGGTGGTGCAGATGAAGCCTCATTACACGATGCAAATGCCTCTGAATCCCTGAGGAAAGAACGGTTCCCCTACTCGCCACCACTTTGGTGGCCACTCAATTGCATTTCTACTCTATATTGTCTTAAGTTATTTTCACTATCATTGATAGGTTTCAATTTGATCCATGTATTTTTTACATGTGAAGAAAAATTATTGGTGGGGTGGATATGGGTATCGGTATGGGGCGGGAGAGGCTAAAACCATACCCACCAAACTTTTTGCCGATTTTACCCATACCCGCCCTATACCCAGTCAATGCAGGGATTCCTCGCGTTGAATAGGTCGGAGGTGGTCGAGTACCCGCGATCATGGGTTTGATTGCCATCCCTACTCCAAGGTAAGCTGACTCCAATAAGATCGTCCATGAGGATTGTTTAAAGAGCATGTGGGGGTTCAGTTAATTCATACGATCCAAAGGGATAGACGGGACTATGCTTCGAGAGCCAGTCTGCCACTCTATTCTCTTCACGTTATGTATGGACTAACTTCACCACCCAACTCTGAGCTAGTGTTGACGGTGAATGGCTCCTAGCAAGGTAGCAAGAGGGTGTAGTGCATTTGTAGTTTGATTGATCACATTTAGAGCGAGTCGCGAGTCAGATTCAAGCACAAGATAGCTTACCCATTTCTTCTAATCCTAGTTTTGAGCATACTCCTCCAATCCATTTTCCATTGTTGTCTCTAAGGACACCTCCCACTGCTATCACGCTTGGATTTCCTTGCGTTCCGCCATCTGTGTTGAGTTTCATCCATCCCGGGGGAGGTAAGTTCCATCCTACCAACTATGTGTTCTTGCAGGTTTTGTAGTAGTATCCAACTTTAGAGTAGCCGACTACCAACATTTCGCCCATTCAATGGCTTTGGTCTTGACATAGTTGAGAAGTGATGATAGAGCCAAGGACTTCTTATGCCAGATGTTCTCATTCCTGCACTTTCATAAAAACCACATATAAGAGAGAAAAAGCTTGACCAATCACCTGGCTATGAGCCTTCAGCTCGATCTAATAGATTTGATCTCAACCAACTGATGTAATATGTATTGAAGAAGCGAGGTAGAAGGTGGCCTGGAATAACTCTGGTCAAGACATATTTAACTGCTTTATATATAGTTCCGCAAACATTGGAGTTTATTCTTTGGTACACCTTGGCATTTGGGGCAGCTGCCATTCTGTGTGAGATGTTGAAATTTCTTGATGTTGTTGGTCGTGAGCTTCTCTTTGGACGCCATCCACATAAAGAATCTCACAACGAGCACGAGCTGGGGTGGTGGGCAGGGGCCGACTGCCTGCTTAGTGGGAGGTGGATCCTATAGGGCGGTAGGGATGGCAATGGGTCGGATCGGGGACGGATAGTGCGTATCCGTTATCCTACCCAAAGTAGTTCGGGTTTTACCTATATCCATACCCACATGTGAAACGGGTAGAAAATTAAAACCATGCCCATACCCGTTCGGGTTTCGGGTATCCACGGTTATCCATTGATAATAATTTCTCTTCATAACTCCAACCAATATGTTAACATTCACACGTATTCTCACATTACGTAAAAGAAAAAGTACGACAATAGTTCACTAGAATGAAGAAAATTAACTAAAACAACATAATTTTATGAAAATATTATATTTATATGCTACATATAAAATATGTTAGAGAAAAATAATAATTATTTCTAGACAAAATACATATGCATGCGTATAATCGGGCGGGTTCGGGTTGGATAGTTAGAAACCCATGCCCACCCATTACACGCAATATTCGGGTTTGGGTTTTACCCGTACCCACTAAATGTCCTTCGGGTTCGGATTTTACCCTACCTGATTAGGCCAAATTCGGACGGATATCCACGATTACGGATATTTTTGCCATCCCTATAGGACGGGCCTGGCTATTTTCGACCAATATGCACTAGGAGAGAATGGAGGAGGCCAGATAGTCTCTCCTATGATTGGGCCGAGCATGGGGACTAGGCTGGGCAATGATTGGGCTCCGGGGAAATTTAATGGAGCCAGGCCAAGTCATGTGTGGCCAACTAGGCCAGATAGCCCAACTTGATTTTCCTGAATATAATGGGGAAGAGGATCCATCTGGATGGTTTGCGCGAGTCGAGCAGTTCTTCAAATTTCAAGCAATTTCAGAGGAGCAAAAGGTACTTTTTGCATCTTATCATTTAGAAGGAGATGCTAATCAATGGTGGCAATGAGTGGATCACACTACTACAATGACCGGGCAATCAATCACATGGGTTCGGTTTCTAGAAGAGTTGTGGGTTCGATTCGGACCTTTGGAAAGCACTTCTAGCCACGAAGCTCTTGCAAAGATTAAAAAAACTGGATCATTGAACGATTGTCTCTTAATTTTTGAGAAGTTGGGTAAGCGATGCTATGTGTGGACTGAAGACGCGTTGGTGGGCTCCTTCAGTGGTGGGCTCAAACCAGAGATTTCGGACGCGATAAACATGTTTAGGCCAGGAACAATGTGAGAGGCCATTCTACTTTTAAAAGTGAAGAATGATGAGTTGGCCAAACATTAAGGAGCGCCGAAAATATACCGAAAGGCCAAGTGGAGGAGGTGACCGAACCTACACTCCCACCACCTCTAGTTCCTAATGCAAGAAGAATGTCACCAGAGGAATTAGCAATGAGAAGGACACAAGGCTTATGTTTCCATTGCGACGAGCGCTTCACTATTGGGCATCGTTGTGAAAATCTCAATGTTCTTCTTATGGTGGGGCCGCCCAAGGAGGGCAAGGAAGGTCAATTCATCTACGGACACAACCAACCTTGAGGGCAAGGTTGCGTTTGAGGGGGGGGGGGGGGATTATTACGATAACCAAGCCATCGTAGCAATTGGGCCAATTATCCGAGCTTGTGTATCTATATTATTTTAGTCTTTCATTACTATTGTCTTTATTAGTGTTTTTTTTTGTTTAAGTAGGATTTGATTTATTGTAAGTTATTTCATTGTAGGAGTAGGAGTCATGTTTAATGTCATGAGAAGATTGGAACCCAAATCATTTTCTTGCTTCGTTCTTCTATCGTCTGACCTCTTTTCGTCCTAAGTCTATTTCTAATCGTTCTAGCCCTAATTCTTTTCATATGAAGTCTATTTCTTTAGTTTGTCGTTCGATTCTTACGAGACACATTGCATGGGAGGTTTTATCCAAAAAATCCACGTAACATATTGGGGCGAGGAGAATACGAGGGTTGGTACCTCTCTGAGCTGGAGGTGCATTAGAGGTTTGTGTACGGTGGAGAGGGAGCGGAGGACGCGGCGGGTGAGAATGATATTGTGGAGGTGCACGATTATGGGGAGCTTTAGGGGACCCTGTGGGAGCGGGGGTTCGAAGGTTGCTTGGGGAGACTTGAGATTGAGTTGCTTGTGCCGCTATTTTCAAAGGTAGAGGGATGGGGTAGAAATGGGTTTTTGAAGGTTGATCAGAGAGATGTTTGTTGATCGAAGGTTTTGGGGACACAGTGATCGGCGGGTTGCCAGGGAGACTAGAGATTAAGCTGCTTGTGTCGCCATTTTCTTTCTTTGGTTGGTTTTGGTGTTTAGGGGTTGTAAGAAATGAAGTTTTTATCTTCTAATACTTGTGAAAATTTTAAGAGATTAACTTTTATTACTTTATTTTTTACTATCACATCACTCATTTAACGGTCAACTACGAGAGTTGACTGCAACATCAGATATAGTTAACAGAATTGGACGGTCAGTGACAAAATTTGAAATTTACTCTGTTTTAGCAAAAAACGTGAAACAATTTAGTAAACCAAGAGACCAAATTTGAAATTTACTCTTTTTTCTTTTTCGTTAAGCTAATGATTGTTAATGTTCCATTATGAAAAAGGTTTTGACTCCTAAAATCTAAATCCTAATTAAAGTTTAATGAAACTTATTAGCTATTAATGATACAAGTGTGAACCCTTTAACCATCCAATGCAATTTTTTTTTTAACTTTTTTTTTTATGGATCCAATGCAATTGTTTTACGAGTTTTTTCCAGAAATAGCACCTTTAAAAAAAAAATTACAAAACTAGCACTCTT